TGCTTTCCTCTTCTAGATGATAGAGAATGATCAGTTCTTTCCACTTTGAACACATCATTAAACTCCTATCCTGGAATAATAATCGAAATAAACCCCTCTTTTCCATATCAATCATTATTATCGGTAAGGGGAGCCAGTATTTACCTTATCCAAGCAGTGGAGGGGGGATGCCACATTTCCACCACATCGCAGGATTACTCCGAGCACGACGTTATACTGTACAGTGTGAAGCACCATATGGGTCAATGTACATCATTTTTTCATAAAGTCCCTGATGATCTATATCTGAGTTGTTGTCATAATAAAGTTTTACCTTTGTAATACTGTGCCACTACAGTTTCAGTATCTTTGAAAAATACTTAATAATTCAGATTGCTGCTCTGGAAACAAAAGAAAATAATGGTTGATTTAAAAAATCTGTGATGTATCTGTATTAACATGCACTGTATGTGACATATCATTTATAATTCACAATGCAATATTTTGTAAATTGAAATCAGAGACTTTTGTCTTATATGTTTTGACATTGATTTCAACAATATCACACACAATACATAAGCCCAACAACATTGAAGTGGCTTACTTATTAGAACAGTTCCCAAGCAACACGGTCCTGGGATTGTTTGATATAATTTCTACAATGTTTTCTAACTGTCAGCCTTCTTAAAGTTCTTCTTTGGAAATTATTGTTCAATAATCATATTTGAAAGCCTCTCTTATTGGGATGTGGTTGTAACCAATGGTGTAGTGGGCGTTGGACGCGGGGGTACGCCGTACCCCCACTTATTTGGAGCATGATCTTTTTTTTTTAATAGTGTGGTGTCACGGTTTGTGAAACAAGCAGGACCCAAATGCAGATATAAACTGAAACTTCCTTTATTTCCAGGCTATGATATATATGTACAATGACAAACAGAACACTCACCGCAGAACTAGTCAGGGAACAAGACGAACCGACCAAGACAGACAGACAACCCAGAACTTAAATGCACACAAGACTCAATCACACAACAAGACACAGGTGAGGAGGGAGGAGAAAACACAGGGACCCAGGTGAACATAATCAGACCATTAGACACACCAGGGAAACTAATGACAAGAGAAAAACACAGGGAAAGGACCAGACAATAACCCAGAGGAAAACATGACATGGAAAACAGCAAAAACACCCAAACCTACAAACTATAAACGTGACATAACATGAGAATCGTGACATGTGGTGCCGAGGAAAGGGAGTCGGAGGCTGTGTATCAAGAATGGACTTCCACACTTTATTATCCATTCATCTCAGAGAGGTTAATACATGACTGCTCTGCATGATAAGCTAGCACGAATGAATATAACGCTACAGGTGTTCCCACTAAAGGGTCCGTGTAGCAACACAACAAGCAAAGTGAATTATAGTCCAACATGGTGTCACCCACAATAGTCTAATAAATATAAAATCATTGCCAGTGTTATCAGTTGCAAGTGTGTATTTTTTTTAATAATAACGAAAACATAATACATTTCACAGTAATTATAATAAAAAATAAAAACGATTTCCTTAAAAAATGATGATTTGTCATCACGCTCGTGACCCCACGGTTTTGGTCCGGCCTCCTCCCGCGTCATCCCCTACCGGGCGCGTTTCAGAAGCATTTCAGAAGATGAGTGTCTTGCCTGCCGGCTCGCAGTTTTTGTTGATTTGGGCATATTTCCTGGACAGGCCACTTTGTACAGACAAAGTTAATAATAATTGTAAATCCCATTTATAAACAACATGAATCAAAGATGTGTTGCTCTATTTTAGTGGTAAAAAAATGCATTCATCATCATAATTATTCTATATAATTTACACAGTGCCTGTAAACCGGAGGAGAACGCTGGCATTTCTCCTCCTACTTGAAAGACTACGGAGGGATAGGGTCTGCAAAATTAGTTTGTGTGTGCGTATATATATATGCTAGGCTATATATGCTCTGACCATTCCACTTCCTGCCTGCCCGACCTTACGTTACGGCTGCACCGCGTCAAAAATAGGATTCATCCTAATTTTAGAGGAGCCCTGTGCCGAGGCGCTTCTGGGACGCTTCTGGGACGCTTCTGAGCCGTAACGCGCCGCGTGTGGTGGAATAGCACCCATTNAATAGGTTTGATGATGACTTCCAGGCTGAATCTGTAGTGCCAATTTCTTTATTGTTAATTTATATGGTAAAACCAAATGATTATATTATGCTTAGAAATTGTATAATTTCTAAGCATAATATAATCATTTGGTTTTACCATATAAATTAACAATAAAGAAATTGGCACTACAGATTCAGCCTGGAAGTCATCATCAAACCTATTGAACTTTGTTACATCCGTGACGATATGTGAAGTTGCCCCTGTGTCCACCATCAGTCCTCTCTCGGTGATGCTGCGCCCTGGCTGGACCTTGTTGTCCACGTCGTTGACTTGGAAAGCATACTCCTCGCCAATCGTTTCATCCGAAGCTTTCCGCGCGTCCTCCTCCCATCGCTGCTTCCGCCTGCAGGCCGCATCCCGATGCGTGTTGCTTTTACAATGACTGCACCACAGCTTACGATGGCACGTTCTGGCCTTGTGTCCACTCAGGCCGCATCTGTAACAAGCAATGTCCGCAAACTTGGTTCCTTTATCCCATGCTCTTGGTACAGAGGGTCGTCTCACTCTCAACTGCTCCCGCGGCCTCATGATGTCGTCCTCTGGTGGCGGGGTGCGCATTCGCTCAGTATCCTCATAGCTGATGAGCTTAGTCTTAACTTCAGCAAAACTTATTTTCTGGTCAATTTGCGTGATGTGTATGGCGAATGGTTTAAATGATTCTGGTAGTCCCTTCAAAACCATTGCTACAAGAAGCCCATCACTTAATTTCTCCTCCGCGTTTCTCAAAGCGGTGATGGCGGTCTCTGCACGTATTATATACTCCGTCACACTTTCACTGCTTGACTTTAGGAGTGATGTCAGTTCAGTATATAGGCTGATAATATGTGGTTTACCTGTGCCAGCATAATAGTCTCTTAAAATCTTCAATGCCTGCCGACCATTATCCGCCGCCTCCCTCATTACAAGGGACAAACTATTGTCATCCAGAAATTGGATAAACTCTGCATAAGCCTCTTCATTTTTCTCTTCATCATCCGCCTCTTCATCTTCCTCAATTATGTCCGTAGGACTCCTTAAAATGGTATATACTGTATATAATGTGAACAAAATAGGTCCAAGCACTGAGCCCTGCAGCACTCCATGGCTAACTTCAGTTTGTATTGAAGATTCATCGTTCGCATACAAACTGAGACCGTTCAGATAGATAGGACCTAAACCAGCTTAAAGCGGTTCCCTTTATGCCAATTAAATATTCTAGTGCTTCTAATAGGATATCATGGTTGATAGTATCACATGCAGCACTAAGACTAAGCAAGACAAGAATAGAGACTGGTCCTTTGTCTGAAGCTAATAGAAGGTAATTTAGTCCGCCCATAACTATTCCATGGAGAAATTGATTTTAAAATAAGATTAATTTACGATATATATTTCAGTTATGGATTATCTAACTAAATCAAAGACCTGAATTGCTCTCACAACATAATTTCACTTTTACCATGTTCTTCACCCAACAGTCAAGCTTGGGCATCAGTAGCCTTTCAAATCACACCCTGTTTAATGGTTAATGTTAATGACCAAATCTTATATTAAATCTTTTTTACGTTTGTTTATGTTCTTTTGCATCTTTTTAGTGGGCTCAAGGCAAGGAATCCTATACTATTTTCTTGTCTTTTGGTGCTTGTTGGCAGCTGCATTCTGTTATATTTGAGGTGAGTACCAAAGCATCATTATTGTTTTTGGATACCTATTAGAGCACATTTGAGCCAAATTTGTTTGTGTTTTGTGCAGACACGCTCCAAAATGATTTTCTCCTTTGTCTCACTATGGTAATTTTTTTATACCAGGTATTTAGCAAACTTTGTTCCTGTGGACAACCTGCCGGCAAACAGAGAAGGAAAATTGAGAGGGATCATCAATTTAGATGACACTCTTCATTTTGGGTAAGAGACCTTACACTTTTAGTTGTTTTTTTTTGCATAATAAAGGGCATATTTAAAACAATGTAGACCACTTTTCTGAAGCTTACAAGATTATCATTTGAACATTTTAACTATGTATTTCAATATCTTTGTGTTGATGTGTCGGCAAGTTGGTTTGTGTGTCTGGAACATTTGTTTGAGTTTCTTGTAGATTGGAGAACACATTTCATGAATCTACTTATTCAATCATCATAGATCAATTAAAACTCCATTAGAATAAAAATGACTTATTTCTGGAACAAATATGGTTGATTTATCATTGGAAGATGGGATCTATCAACATATGACAGTCCCCTGGCTTTATCTCTGTTATCTTTGTTTCTGATGCAGCAGGTGGAGGTGTTGATTGGCTTTGATGGAAGCACCTGGGCTTGGTGCTCTTCAAATATAACTGCAAAGCACCAGAGCACCCGCTACCCTGGCGCATATCCTCTGCATACAATAACTATATAACTATTAGATCCGTAGTACTAGCGACTTCCAGTTCAATTCCATATTCGGCATTCCAAAATGTATTCAATCCGACCAGTGTTTGAATTTCTCCTCCCACATGTTTTAAAAGCGGTTCAAGCAGCTTATTGTACATCAGGCCTTGGCTTGTCAGGGAGCCTTGGAGCATTTTGTGGTGGTTATATGAAGTCCCCGGAGCCAAGTGCTTACCTTGCTCCCTATTGTTAGTTCACCTTTTAGTTAACAGTTACACACTCCAATTGATCCATGGTTTCTCTGGTTTGTTTAGTGATACGCCTAGCCGACTTGTTGGAGAGGCTAAAGGTCCTATGTGAATGCTGAGATATGTTTGTACTTGGTTGCGGAGGTGAATGCTGGGAAACGGTATTGCAGAGTCCTGTTCTGCCAGCTGGTTCTCATCATGTTTGCTTGTTCCAAAATCTTTTCTGCTTCCCAGGATAAATGACTGCATGGATCAGGTAAGATTGGCAAAATGTATCTGAAAAGATACTTGCAGGTTTCCTGTCCTAGCGAGGATTCGAGATAAATACTTTTATACTTTAAATGCCAACTGGTTTCTACTCATACAATGTGATGCCTTTTGGGCTTCGGAATGCATCAGCTACATTACAACGACTTAAGAATCATGTTATTAAATTATACATTTTCCTTTAGCACTTTGGACTTTGAAACAATGTAAATCTCCTCTAATGATCATTTAAAATATATGTATTTCTGTCTTCCATTTCAGGGCCAGACAAGGGGTTGAAACTCGTACATCTTGGAAAGCTCCTATCATCTGGGAGGGGATGTTTGAGTCCGATCTATACGACCAGGAGCACATCCACAGCCAGACGTCTGTGGCCCTCACCGTGTTTGCTGTGGGAAGGTTTGTATGTCCATCACCACCAGCAGTTCAGTCGTAAACTGGTTGCACTTTGCCAATGCTTTCATAATATGAATTATTTGTACATACCATGAACACATTAATACACTCTGCATATAACCGAATGAGATTCAGTCCGATTACTTTGCTTGGGTTCAGACAGTAAAGTCAGCAAATGTGCGCATATGATATCTTTCTCAAATAATTAAATCAAATATGTTACTACTGTGTTTTCATCATAACATACTTTTAAGCAACACATGTATTTGTTGTGTTCCTCTCCATCCCTACCCAAGGTACCTGGATGCCTACCTGAAGACCTTCCTTACCTCTGCAGAACAACATTTTATGTTGGGATTAAAGGTGACATATTACGTGTTTACGGATCTACCAGAGAAAGTACCAAGTATCGAGCTTGCTCCTAACCGAAATGTAAAGATTATGCAAGTGGAAAAGCACTCCAGGTGGCAGGACATCTCTATGATCCGAATGAAAACTATATCAGGCGCCATAGAATCAGAGATTCATCACCACTGCAACTATGTCTTCTGCTTTGATGTGGATCAGGAGTTTAAGGGAAGATTTGGCTCAGAGGCTCTGGGGGATTCTGTGGCTTTGTTACACGCATGGTATTACAACGCTCCAAACTATAAATACACCTATGACNGAAACCCCAGATCCAAAGCCTTCATGGAAACCGGAGATTACTACTACCATGCCGCTGTCTTTGGAGGCTTGTTGGAAAAAGTGAAGAATTTGACAGATTACTGCTTTTTAAATATCATGGAGGACAAACTGAACAATGTGGAGGCTTTGTGGCACGATGAGAGTCATCTAAACAAATACTTTTGGATCAACAAACCAAGCAGGTTACTTTCCCCTGAGTACTGCTGGGACCAGGTTATAATGGAAAAGGGGGACATAAACGTCATGCGCCTCATATGGGCACCTAAAGATTATGTGGGACTTCGTCCTTAGGAGATTGGCTACAAAAAACACAAATTAATATAACAACAAGAAAGTTGCAATAATGTTTCCTTAAAGCTTTGTATTGGATTCCTCACTATATCTTCCGAAAATTCCACTCTGGTAAATCTAAATGCTTTTCTTTGTTTTATAATATTTATTAATGGATATGTCAAATATGTGTATATTTAAAAAAAAAAAAATATTCAAAAAAACTATTTAAAAAAAAATGTTCCTCTAAAGCAATTTTCCAAAAACGTTAGTGCTGTTTGTTTTCATTTTACCTCAATCAATCTTTAGATATTAATTGACTTAATAACTGAATAAAATGCTTCCTCAAACATTATGTTTTCTGAGCACTATTACCGTTCTCCATCACCCTGGCATTTACACAAGAGACACAACCCAATTGTGGTCGAAGAGGGCAGAAAAACTGGAAACATTTGGAGGAGTTGACGAATTATAAACTAGGTTATATAATTTGTCTAATTTTGGTCTTTCAGTTTTTTATAAATATTGTTTGAGGGCAACTTAGAGTTCTTAATTTGAGAACACTGTGGTTGTTGTGACCTATTTATGGGGGAGGTTTGTTGGCGTTTTCTTCTAAGCTTGCAGTATGCACAGGTTTCATGATTGAATACACAATAACACAAATAATTTATTTCTGATATCATTACAACAAGATACCACTAATGTTTGCTCAAAACTACAAATAAAATAATCAAGCTGATGAAGCTCTTGTCCTTCCCCTCTTCCATTACTGGGACAATAGAAGCAACCGGTTACCTGATATGGAGCAGTGATTAGATGTACTGTATTTGATATTTGTTTTAGAAGTACGTAAAAATCGTTTGAATTACTTTAGAGATTTAGTTCACTTAAGAAATCTAAAATGTGAATTTCACTGATTTAAATGCTTAAACTAGAGGTAATGGATGCATTCATTTGTTGACCTGAACAATGTAATGTGTCTATAAAAAAATACTACCATTTTATTTCAATAAAAATATGAGAAGACACATTTGGAGAAATACGTTTTTTAAATGAAAGAAAGACTAGATGTTATGCTTACCCTCTCTAACCCTGCTCGCCTCATGTGGGAACCTGACGATTTGATATTGACTATCCCGACTACCTAAAGAGTTCAACACAGTAGACATAACAATTGTATTAATTCCTCTCCAAGCAGACCACTGCTTTTGGGTGATATTAACTTACCTTAAAAAATCCAGCAAATTGCAAGTAAACTGTATTTATGTAACATCAGGGGTGAGGCTTTTCAAAAACCCATTTTTATTAGCTATAAAAACATGTCAGTAATACCCCAGCACCAACTTTACTACATTGAAGTTTAGCATTAAAAGATTATAGCCTGCCCTGCTTTTGCAGAAGCTGGGCAGGTTATAATCAAATAAAAGTTGCATGAAGATCTAAAGCCTTCTTTGCAGAGTTATATCAGGAGGCCAAGGGTCACTGATTTGAAGGGCTAACTTTCTGATTAGATTTGTTGTCTTTTTCAAAGTGTGGGAATCTGACGTCATTGTCACCTGACGGTGTCATTTGCCATTTTTACACTTTACATGAATTTACATTTTAAACTATTTCCAACAATTGTTAAATAAAGCTGCGTATATCTTTGGAATTAATGCCTCTGTCATAATTGAACCTATTAAGGGAAGCTTTAAAATCGGTCCACGACTTACATTTAGGGTCCACGGGTTCCTCCTGCCCCTTAGCAGGAGGTGGCGTTGTCAGTGACTAGCTTTACATATGGTAACCTCAGTCACGGTTACCACATTTTGGCGTTGTCGGCAGGATGACTTACAAGAGGCATGAATTCCTGTATTTTTGGTTTCTTTGGTTTGTTTTGTTTATTGAAATAGAGACAGTGGCTGGCGCTGGACAACGGGACGAAGGCCCTCGGACGTGGATGAGCTTGTAATGGAAACCAAAGGCCATTGACAACAAATGTGACCCCATTGCTGTTTAACTGTATTGCATATTTATCTCCAACACTTGTTTCTAATTTTTTGCAAAGTTGTTAACCAACCTACAAAAATGAGTGTTGATCAAGAGGTGGAGGAACTGTTGGCTCTGCGTGAAGAGGTACAGAGACTGCGTGTGGCTAATGAGCATCTACTCCAAGAAAGAGGTGCCAGTTCAGATGCAGCTACTACCAGTATAAATACAGGTGGCTTACCTCAGAGCGGTAATGTAGCATCACCCAACTTGTCTACACCCCAAGTTGAGCGTTTTGTGTACATACAAAGAGAGAGAAAATGTCCCTACTTTTCAGGCTCCAGCTCTAAGCTTGACATGTCCATATATGATTGGATAGAACAGTTGCAGTCATGTTTGAGAGACAGGCACATGACTGCCAGAGAGAAGGCCCTCTTTCTTTATGATCATTTGGAGGGGGAAGCAAAAACTGAAATCAGATTTCGTACTTTGGTGGAGAGGGAAAATCCTGATACAATTTTAGTCATTCTGAAAGAGCTGTATGGTTCCTCCTCCTCCTTTGTAAGCCTGCAAAAACAGTTTTTTGATCGAAAACAAAGAGAGGGAGAGTCTTTAAAGGAATTCTCCCATTCTTTGTGGGAAATAATTGAGACTATCAAATGTGCATATCCAAATAGGTTGATGGATCCAGATATTCTGGCTAGGGACCAGTTTGGGGGAGTATGTGCGGGATATGGCCTTGCGCCGCGAGTTAAAGAGTCTCATAAGCCAACGTCCGGCAATTCCTTTTTATCACTGCATCAGGAGGGAATCAGGTGGGCTGAAGAGGGTGAGAGGCCTGCAGGACATGCTCGAGCTGGGCTACATCAATGTGGGGCAGATGTAAATTTAGGTGGAGCTTGCCATGCCGTTGGGGCTGGACCAGATTTGGTTTCTTTGCAATAACTATTTAAGAAACAGCAGTTGCAAATTGAAAGCATTATAAAAGGTCTGTCTAAGATGGAAACTGTACTTGACCAATCTGTTTCTCGTGTCAATAAGCCCAACTACCAGTTTACTGCAGATGGCCA